GGCCCACGAGCTTGACTGTGCACTCCCACAGTATCCTTGTCGCCCACCTTGCCCTTGGCACCATCGAGACTGCGTACACTCGCAGAGTTGGGTTGCGGCAAGGGCGGTAGCACTGGCGTTCTTTCGCCTCGCATGCGAGCAGCCATGATGCCGTGCAGATTGTGCCTATTGGCCAAATGTCGCTCCTCCCGAATGTCCAAGAAATCTGCCAGCTCGCGATCTAAGAACAGACGATCCTTGAAGGGTCCAATGGGATATGCGAAGAAGGGGCTGAGCGGGTTGCGCGCATCCCACTCAAAGGCAGCTGGCCGTCCGTAGAGCTTGAAGACATCCATGAACGCTATGAGCCACTTCATCATCTCTGCGTTTGCGCCTTTTGATCCGATGCTTTCGGAGAGCTCGGGCATGACCATGACCCAGCCAGTCTGACGGATTTTGCCGGTAGCGCTGGTGGTGGTCGAAAAGGGGAAAGCGCCTTCGACCTTGAACAGACTGCTGCCTTCGACGAGCTCTGGGCGACTCGGATAGACAGCAAAAGCGTGTCTGGCGTATTGTACAGTAGCGAAGGCCACCTTGGATTTCTTGGTCTCGTAGAAAGCCGCAATGCCAGGCGCTCCATTGCTTCCTGGAGGAGGCTCAATGTCGGTCACTGCATTGGCCGCATTCGGGGAGGAAGATGGCAGCGATATGCTCATGATACTGCTGCGATCGCCGGCTTTGAGTTTGCCCCACAAACCTTTGCTCGTCGATGGGCTCTTGACCATTCCCGCACCATCCGGGGCGGGGCTCTGCGGAGTGGCGCCCCCAGGCAACTCGTTGAGGACCAGCCAGCACTTCTTCCATTCTCGCGTTCCCATGAAACGAGCCTTGACCCAGCCCTCCATTTTGCCCTTTGAAAGAGGGCTTTTGATGTTCATCTCCATGTTGCCCGGAGCGCCGCCAGGACCACTCGAAGCTGCGCTCGTGTCGCCGGTCGCAGCAGCGCCCAGACGGGCTCGGATGAGCGCTCCAGAGTAAATCTCCTCCAGTCTGACCTTCTCCCAGCTTGCCAAACGGATGCCATTAACCCAAGACTGGACGAGTCTTCTGCCCACGCTACCCTCCACTCCGAATAGAATGCGGTTCTGGCCAGCGGCGTTTACAGCAAAGACGTTCTCGTAGCGTCCGCGAGATGCGACGACATCCTGTGGAGACTCTGAGAAAGTTCCGATGTAGTCCACGAACTAAGAAAGAGGAGCGAGGTAGCATGTCAATGAATGTTGCGAGCGTGCAGCTGCCGAGGGCAATGTATCAGGCTGCTTACAGAATCTGTGATGTTGATGTAAGTAGGGGGCACTTCTTTGCCCTCGCGAGCCGCCTGCTCCATGGCTTGGACGCTCCAAATGCTCAAAACAGTGCCAGCCAGCTGGACGAAGCACAAATGCCATCGCTTCTTCTCGTCATTGATGTGCAGCGGCTTGCCATCGGCATTGAGATCATCTCGACGACTGAGATAGCCCTCCATGTAGATCTTCTTTGATTGAGCATCTTGCAAAGAGAGGGCGCTTCGCAACTCGGGCGATCTGAAGGTCAGAGGGGCAGCTGCGGTGCGAATGGAACGCGCTGTTGAGCCGGTAGGAGAAGGTGGTCGAGCGGCTCCAGGGGGCTGATATGGGTCTGGTGATTCCGTGGGCTGATAGGCAGTCAAGGGTCTCATCGACATTGTGGACAGTGTTCGCTGGTGCGTTGGCGGTGCATGACCCTGCTGGGAGCCATCTGGTCTGCCGACTTGACTGTTGGTGGAAGGTCTTGGCGAAGCTGCAACCTCAGCCTCGCCTGCGCTGTTCATGTTGTTGAAGCTGCCGTTGCGAGGGATGGCCTGGGATTGCCTGTCTTGTTGTTGCTGGGATTGTTGCAAATTGTGCATCAAAGGGCTTTGACTGTTTTGCTGCTGAGTTGGGAAAGCAGTGGAATTCCTCTGCGAAGGCGAAAACTTGTCGGCCGGCTTGGCGTAGCCGTTGCTGTCGATGCTAGCGCTGCCATTTGCCGCGGGAAAGCCTCTGAAAGAAGATGGCGGACCGGAGTTGGGCCCGCTGCCGCGCTGTTGCGCGTGCCAGTTGGCTTGTTGTTGAGTCGCCATGTCGCGCGCGGCGAATTCCGGGTCTCACTTGAGCTGAGCGTGATGATTCTAA